ACCCCAGGAGACAACAGGAAGCGCCAGGAGGCCTCGGAAGGCAACAGGAGGCCCCGAGAGGCCCCAGGAGCAGGAGGCCTCAGAAGGCAACAGGAGTGGCTCCAATCCCATGTGTTTTACGTATGCTCCTATCGATTGGGCCTCACCTGGAGCACGATTCTTTGATGTTCTACGTATGTTTCTATAGATGGTCCTTCTCCTGTGTACACAATCCTAAATGTTTTACTCATGTTCCTATGTATTGGGCCTCTCCTGGGGCACGAGTCCTTGGTGTTTTACGCGTGTTCCTATAGATTGCCCTTCTCCTGTGGCTCTAATCCGCAATGTTTTATGTACGTCTGTTGCTATAGATTGCGCCTCCCCTGGGGCACGAAACCTTCCTAGGAGGTCCCAGGAGGTCCCAAGAGGCTCCTGGAGACCCCAGGAAGCCCCAGTAGGTTTCAGGAGGCCCCAGGAGGCCCCAGGCTCATGCACAGAGACGCGCTCGTACTACTGAGGCTCATTCACACTCCAATTCATTCGCAGTTAGATTGATGTCCAGACCGTCACAACTGAAGCCCGTTAATATTCGAAAGCTCTTGCGCCTAGACATTCACGGCGGACAGGTCCATGCGAGTAGATGCACATATGGGGAGCTCCACGCAGTGAATAATTATGGCGTTTTTCCTTCTCTGAAGACAACCTGTCGTCTGCGAGCACTTCGGCAGTCTGCGAGCAAATCGGCACTCTGCGAGCACTCTCCGCTTGCGAGCGATTCGGCACTCTGCGATATGTTCCTTCTGTGAAGACTATAATTATGTTTATGGCGTTTATGTTTATGTTTGTGTGCTCTGGCTCGGACGCTTGCGAGCAATTGGAGGAGGAGGAGGAGGAGGAGGAGGAGGAGGAGGAGGAGGAGGGGGAGGAGGAGGGGGGGGAGGAGAGGAGGAGGAGGAGGAGGAGGGAGGAGGAGGAGGAGGAGGAGGAGGAGGGGAGGAGGAGGAGGAGGGTGAGGGGGAGGAGGAGGGGAGGGAAGGAGGAGAGGAGGAGGAGGAGGAGGAGGAGGAGGAGGGGGAGGAGGCGGAGGAGCGGCACTCTGCGAGCAGCGGGACGCTCCCGCCGCCTGCCCGAGGAGCCGCCCCATGCCCTCGGAGATGGCCCCGAGCCCCTGCCGACGGCCCCGGGGCCCCCCGAGGCGCTCCCGAGGAGGCCCGCCCCCCCTCGGATGGCCCCCCCGGGCTCGCCGCCGACCTCTTGACCCGAAGCGTGCGCTCTGGGCTCCTCCTCCTCCTCCTCCTCCTCCTCCTCCTCCTCCTCCTCCTCCTCCCCCTCCCCCTTTCCCTCTTCCTCCCTCTTTCCCTCTTCCTCCGCCTTTCCCTCTTCCCCTCCCACTCCCGGGACGACTCTGGCCGCACGCCTCGGGCCAGCAGTGAGGGCCAGGGCTGGGGGAGCAGACAGCGACGTATAAGCACAACGGTCGCAGACAATGCCGCGCAAATCTGCGCAAACGAAACATCGGAGGCTCGCGCGGATCCCTCGGATCGGCGCTGAGGCTCGCGCGGATCCCTCGGATCGGCGCTGGGGCCCCCTGGCGGCGCGTCCGGCGCCGCCCCTGGCCCGCTCCGCGCGCCCGATTCTGGGTCGCTGGCGGCGTTCAACGTTGAACGCCGACGGCGGGGTCGCTGCTGGTCGACACGACGCGAACCTACTGTCACGGTGGCTCCCCGGCGATACATCGTCGTCGTCCTCCTCCTCCACCGTTTTCGAACCAATCAGAGAGTCTCCATTAGAAGCACCAGGCCCCGGGAGAGTGGGCGCGTGCCGGCACTTGATCTTTTCTTGTCTTCTTTCCCCCCTGCCTCCCCTCTGTTGCGTCGTGCTCTTCTGTCCTCGTCTTTCCTGCTTCCTTTGACACCCATCCAGCTTCGATGTCTGGATGCAGCCGCCTAGGGAGAAGGGCGTTCACAAACATAGATTGCGTTCTGGACTGTCTACACGGAAATTGTTGGATCTGCGCGCGCGGTAACTCGGGGGAGAGTGGCCGGCTCAATGGAGTCGACGGCCTAGCTCTGCAAATGCATTTGCCCCGGGAGAGAGGGCAGACATCTCTAATACATATTTCTCTCGTTCCCGTGCCTCTCCTGCCTCCCCTCTGTTGCGTCGTGCTCTTCCGTCCTCGTCCTTCTCTGCTTCCCATTCCACTTGAGCTTTTCGCCAGATGTCAACGGTCAGACTTCTGGCATCGACGTTTGCATGCATTCGCCCGCGGGGACTGCCGTGCGCAGACGGTTGCACCAGCATGTGCAGGCACTGTGGAGTCACACGACTCCTTCTTGTCGTGACCAAGGGGTACCCCCTTCAATTCCCTCGCCTCGCGCACGTGCTCCTCCCGCTTCGTGGCTCCCCGCATTCCACCGCAGCTATCAGGCACGAGGGGGCTTAGGCCGGCGCTCAAGGGCTGCGGCTCGCACAATCGAGTGGGCTTCCTCGATCATGCACCTGTGCCTGTGAGAAAAAATCATCTGGACTTCATCGGCTCCTCCTCCATCCTCGACACCGACGCTGACGACGACGCCCCAGACAAGAATTTCGAAGCGGATCCAGCCGTCGCCATGGAAAGCGCCCCAGGTGGGCCAAGAAGGCTTCGGAAACGCGACCAAAAACATGCATGCTCGATCCACGGACAGCAATCGACGTCCACGCCGCCGACGCCGCCGTCGCAACCGACGCCGACGCGAACGCCGCCGCCGTCGTCGTCAACGCCCTCCCTGGAGGTTGGCGGCGCCGGGGGCCCCGGGACGCCAGCTGGCGCCTCCGAGCGCTGCGGCGCGCTTGCAGTGATCGGCGAGGCGCCCAGCTTCGCAAGCGATTTGATGGCAGCGGCAGCGTCGCCGCCGCCGCCGCCGCCGCCGTTGTTGGCATCGGCGTCGGCGTCGTCGGCATCGTCGTCGGCAAGGTCGCCGTGGGCGCTGGCGGCATCGTTGCCGCCGTCGTCGGCGGTGACGTCGACGGCGGCAGCAGCGGCGGCCGCGTCTGGGGAGACCAAAGGGTACCAATACCGCTACTCCCCAGACCTCTCCTGGGGTGGGTTCTGACAAGACTTTCGAGGCGAATCCAGCGGTGGCAACGAAGGCCTCCGAGGAGGCCCAAAGAGGGGAAAACGGGAGAAGGGTAGCGGTATCGGTGCAGCCGGACCTAAGCCAAAAGAACATCCCTCAAGAACATCAGACCCTCCGCCGGCCAAAACACACAGGACATCCAAGGGCATCCTCCGCAGGGTGCACAAGAGCATCCAACGAACACGAAGAACACTAGGGCACCCTCCCCGAAATGGCCTCGATCTTATACCTCGGTCCAACCGCATGACCGCAGCGTTTCCCAAGGCGAGGTCGGTGTTGAATCTTTGGTGGCGACACTTTACCAAACCCTCGACGTCGTGATTCTTGCACAACGTCGACTCCCAAAAATCTGGACCCCTTCTCCGGGACCGGTCTTTCAACCTGAATCGTTTGTTGACGGTCCTAGGTCCCAGCAAGGGCCCCTGAGGGCCGAGAATAGCGTAACACCTCCTGTCATGATTTTTCACAAAACTAGGGTACCCTCACCGAAATTGCCTCGATGTTTTACCTCGGTCCGACTGTATGTAGAAAGGGGGATGCTTCTTAGAAGGAGGCTGCTTCCTAGAAGGCGGCAGCCCTACATATATGGACGAGGCCCGCGCCTTGTGAGAAGCAGGGGAGGAGGAGGAGGAAGAGGAGGAGGAGGAGGAGGAGGAGTCAACGATGTCGGAGTAAACCCTCCCTCCCTCCAAGCTCCCTCTTCATAGGCTCCTACAACCATTCATTTCTTTGAGCGAACTGCCTCGTTGGAAGACAGCCGTTTGAAGACCCTGTCGCATGCCAAACGATTACTCTCGGGATTCCAACGCCACGGATCAACGTGACTGGTGCATTTTGACGATCCTGAATCGTGCCAGAACGCCATTTCAGGGACTTCAACACAGAGTATCAACGTAACTGTTGTGCCCGCATGATCCTGAATCCTTCCAACACACTATTTCTGGTACGTTGGTGATGGGAATGTGCTTAACTCTTGCACATGTCTAAAACGAATGTGCGCCGCGCTAAAGCGAGACCCACATTTTGAAAACGACACGCCCTCAATCCGTGAGACTCTTGTAAATTGTTAAAACGAATATGCGCCGCGCTAGAGAGAGAACCACACTTTGAAAACGACCCGCACTCAATCCGTGAAATTCTTGCAAATTGTTTAAACGAATGTGCGCCGCGCTAAAGCGAGAACCACATTTTGAAAACCATCCGCCCTTAACCCTTTAAACTATTGCATGTTTCTAAAACGAATGCTCGCCGCGCTAAGGCGAGAGCAATATTCTGAAAACCACCCGCCCTCCATCTTTGAAACTGTTGCCAATTGTTAAGCTTCAGGGTCATGAGTGGTGAAGAAATCTCAAGCGAAACGCCCGGTCCGCCCTAAAAACATGCCTCTGGGTGTGACAGGGGGAAACTACTTAGAAGGAAAGGGAACGGAGGAGGAGGATGAGAAGGGGGAGGAATCGTGTTTTCTTTTCACCTTTGCCCTAATGAGCCCCCCCTCCCACCCTGGTTATTGCCGGGTGGGAGGGGCAAGACAATTGTGCATGGCGACAAGACCTCTCGACCGCCATTAGCACTAATATGATCATGCTGTTCCCATCCTACTTGAGGGCCACATCCCAGAAAGTGTCTCCCAGGTTCCGACACGCGAAAACCTTGGAATTTCGGTACTTTTTCTGGTGCTCGAGGTTCTCTCTGGTGATCAAGGCTAGAGTAGATGGTTGGAGCATCACAATAGTAGGAGGAGGACGAAGAGGAGGAGGAGGAGGAGGAGGAGGAGGGCACCCTTCCCGAGATGGCCTGCATCCGAGAAGTGCCTCGGTCCGACGGTGCCCTCTCCTCCCCCCCCCGAGCGGCGGCAGCGGCCGCGGCGGAGGCGCCGGGCGCCCCGCGGCAGGGGAGGCCCGCCTGGGCCGCGCGCGGGGAGGTGGCGCCCAGGTGCAGCGGCGGCTGCGGGGCCTCTCGGGGGTCGCTCGTCGCCGCCGTCGCCGTCGCCGTCGCCGTCGCCGTCGCCGTCGCCGTCGTCGTCGTCGTCGCCGTCGCCGTCGCCGTCGTCGCCGCCGTCGTCGTCGTCGTCGTCGTCGTCGTCGTCGTCGTCGTCGTCGTCGTCGTCGTCGTCGTCGTCGTCGTCGTCGTCGTCGTCGTTCGGTACTGTTTCGATCGCCCAGCAGTGGTGCAATCACGGCTCGGGGGCGTTGCAAGACGAAGCGTCTCCTGAGAGGTCTGAGGTCTTCGCGAGAAGGATTCCAAGGGCTGCTGGGCCCGATTCGTGGTGAGACATTGCAAGACGCAGTCAGGACGAGACTAACATCGGTGAGGATAGATCGAGAATCTCTGAGGTCTGGCGGCTCTGGGGGATGCCTCGGGCGCCGCGGCCGATTTTTCTTCTTCGACGGGTGGGAGGTTTGACAGATCGAATTTCCTACCAGACTCTGAAGCGCCAACCGATCGGCTCCGCGACTCGCGCGGAGGCAAGCATCACTGCGACGGGTGCTCGCCACGACGACGCGGGCCGTGGTTCCTGCCTTGGCGGCGAGCGATGGAGGGAAGTGAGAATAGAAGAAGAAATTACCACATTAACAGAAACTTTTGGCACTCCGCGCGGATTTTTCGGATTCGGGCGGAGCCGGAGGAGCTGCCGGGGGGCCCAGGCGCGGATCCAAGAAATCCGCGCGGAGCGCCAAAAGTTTATGTTTATGTGTTTTTGTCTTCTTCGATCCTCAGAAGCGCTGCGGCCTCCCGAGAAGATGTTTTTTGTTGTCTTCGGGGCATGCTTCCGGGGGCCCCCGAACGGGGTGGTGATCTCACCATGTGGTGCGGTCAGGTGGGGCTTCGGGGCCACCGCACGGTCTTGGGACTCGATCCCCTCTCTCCGAGGATGTCTCGGGCGACGGGGGCCTCCGTGGTCCCAAGACCGTGCGGTGACGGACGGTGCGGTGGGGTCTCTTGTGGTTCCCAGGTCACCGCACGGTCTGTCACCACACCGCTCCGGGCCCCCCACGGCTCAGAACACCAACTTCAGAAGTCCGGGGGGCTTCCGAGCCTTCTGAGAAGCACCGCCCCTTCTCACTCCCCAGACACCCGACGCCGCGATTGCTTCAGGAGGAGGAGGACGAGGAGGACGAGGAGGAGGAGGAGGACGAGGAGGAGGAGGAGGAGGAGGAGGAGGACGAGGAGGAGGAGGAGGAGGAGGAGGAGGAGGAGGAGGAGGAGGGGAGGAGGAGGGAGGAGAGAGGAGGAGGAGGAGGAGGGAGGAGGAGGGAGGAGGAGGAGGAGGAGGAGGAGGAGGAGGAGGAGGACGAGGAGGAAGAGGAGGAGGCAGAACGTCGGCCCCCAGAGGCCTGGGCCCCTTCCCCCATTGGGACCGGCTGCTCCTCCCGAGCCGGTGGTTTCCCGAGGGCTGGTCATCGGGGGCGCGCCAACAGGGATTGGCGATCCATGGATTCGGCGCGCGGGCTCGCCAAATCCAGGGATCGGGGGAGGTGCCCCCCCTCCCCCCAAATGCGGTCGGCGGCGGCAATCGGCGATTTCCTATGGAAACGAGGCCCGTCGCTCATCCACGCCCCCTGAATCCATGTTTGCGATCGCCTGAGGTACAGTGGCGGCCAGTCCACAGGAAGCCTTCCACGAGAAACCCAACCCTGAGACCCCAGGACGTCCAATGGTTTTTGTTTGGTGCGGGAACGTCACCCTTTCCATCGCAAAACCATCGAAACCCATGAAACCGAGGGCACCTTGGAGGCGAGCAGGGTGTCTCCTGGCATGGATCTCCACTGTCAGGGCCCCCAGAGGCCGAAAATAGCGAAAAGCCTCCCGCCGCGAGTTTCTCACCGCGCGAGGGGGTCTGGATTCCCCGCCCCCTCGCTCGCCGCCGACGCTCGGAAGGCAATGTCGGGTCGGGCGAAAGGGAGGGATAGCAAAAGGGGGGTTTGAGAATCAGCTCACGTTGCTGACTTTCCCTGCGCCTCCCGTCGCCGGAGGCGGCTAGATATCGAGGAATGGGCCCCTGGGTGAGGCCGAAACCAGCTGCATGCAGCAAATTTCGTATAAAACGGGGCTAGGATCGGGATAAATCGCTCCAGAGCGTTCCGGAGCGCTCTCAGAGCGTTCCGGAACGCTCTGGAGCGGCCGCGGCGCCCAATACATCCTCCAAACCCGCCGATTCTCAGAGATTTCGAATTATCCCGATCCGATGTTGTCCCGATCTTCGCGTCGTTTGATCGTGACCCCCCCTTTCCCCATCCCCCCCTCTCGTCCGGCCCGACAAGTGGCCCGCCGCGCGGACAGCGCCGGAGCCTCCCCGGGGGGAGAGCGCGCACGGCACGGCCTCCCGTGCGCACCGGGGCCTGCTGCTCCCGTGCGCACCAGGGCCTGTATACGGGCGACAGTAAATTGAGCAATTGTACAGTAATTCCGGCGGCGTCGCACTCTGATAGCATCGCAAAGTTGTTGCGTCATCGTGTGGCACTCCGCAGCTACAGCGAGTCGAGGCTCGCGCGCGGCAGCGGCCGCCTCGGTGGCCGCTCGACGCCGCGCCGGGGCTGCGGCGCGGGCGGAGCACGGAGGCAAGGCCCCTGCAGCCGAGAGAGAGAGAGAGAGAGAGAGACCCTGAGATCCTGGCGACTCACTTTTTTCGAGCCGGGCGTGTTCGCCTTTGGACGGGCCCCAGGGCCCACACAAATCGATCCGGCTCGAAAAATGACGCAGAAAGATGGGCTCCGGGGCTCCAGTCGCGGACTTTCGCGATGTTGCATTTCTTTCGCTACGTCGGATCTCAGGGGAGAGAGAGAGAGAGAGAGAGAGAGAGAGAGAGAGCGGAAGAACCCAGGGGCGAGAAGAGAGCAGAGAGAGAGAGAGAGGCGGCGGAGGGGGGCTGGGAGAGCAGGCAGAGTGGGCAGCTCGGCCCCCTGCGGCACCGGCTCCTCGTCCTCGCCCTCCCCGCCCTCCTCGTCGCCTCCGTCCTCGTCCTCGTCCTCGTCCTCCGCCTGCCACACAGGTGGCAGGCGACCGCCCGGCTCGCCACCTCGCGCAGCCCACTGCAGGCGCGGCGCAGCAGCTGCGGCACAGCCGGCTCTGCACCTGCACCCAGACGCCTTGAGCTCCACGAGCCTGGTCTCAGGTCGGGCGTGTCCCCCCAGGGGCGGATTTTGCACGAAAGATAAAAAATACCCCAAAACCTGTTCAAAACTATGCAGCAATAGTCAAAACGTCGTCCCCTGGCAATTTTTTACACTATTTTTGACTGCTCCTCCTGTAGAGGGACAGGCCCGACTGAAGCCTGGTCCGCTCCGCTCCGGCCCTCCTCCGCCGCCAGGCGCCAACCGGTGCCCCGCCCCTATGCACGGCCGACTCTGCGCGGCGCGTGGCGCAGGCGCGGCTGCCGCCGCCACGGGACACCGCGGCCACCGCCGGCCGCCGCCGACGGTGGCCGCCGCCGTCGCCGCGGCCGCCGCCGCCGCAGACGGCTGCCGTCGCCGTCGCCGTCGCCGCTGCCGCCGCCGACGGTGGCCGTCGCCGTCGCTGTCGCCGACGCCGCCGCAGACGGTTGCCGTCGCCGTCGCCGCCGCCGACCCCGACGGTGGCCGTCGTCGCTGTCGCCGCCGCCGCCGCCGTCGGCCCAGGCGGCGGCCCGCGGCCGCCCCGCCTGCGGAGACAGCGCGGCCCCTGGCAGGCGCACCGCCAGGCGGTCCCGCGACACGGCGCGCTGCAGCGGCGGCAGCCCGCCCGCGGCAAGGGCCAGGTGCTCCCGCGAGACCTCCCGCTGCAGCGGCGGCAGCGCACCTGCGGCGGCACCGCCCGACGGCTGCTCGTAGGCGTCGCCGTCGTTACCGTCACCGTCAGCGTCGTCGTCGGCGCCGTGGACGTGGTCGTGGTGGTCGCGATTGTCGCGGTCGTGGTCGTCGCCGCCGCCGCCGTCGCCGAAGATCGAATGACCGTGGTACCGTGGTCACCGTGATCGTTATCGCCTTCTTGGGCTACTGAGGGCGCCCTCGTCGTAACAACTGGACCCGACTCGGAAGTCTTGGCAGAGCACGCTCCAGAAGATGTCTGGCAGTCGTCATCGAACTCTTCGTCATCGTCGTCGTCGTCGTCGTCGTCGTCGGCAGCGTCGGAGTCCTCAATGTGAATGTCGTCAGCGTCGTCAGCGCTGTTGTCGGCGTCATCGTCGCCGCCGAGGTCGAGGCGACACGCGGCGGCGATGTCGGCGGCGGCGTCGAGGCGGCGTCGCCATCGGCGTCGGTAGCGTCGGCGTCGACGTCGGTCGAGGTCCGAGGATGAACTGTGCTTTGGGGCGTTGTTGAAGGCTCCTCTGAGTGCTTTTGCAAGGAGGTAGTCGGCGCCAACGTCGAGGTCGTCGTCGTCGTCGTCGGAGTCGGCGTCGGAGTCGGCGTCGGAGTCGGCGTCGGAGTCGGAGTCGGCGTCGGCGTCGGAGTCGGCGTCGGCGTCGGCATCGGCGACGGCTTCGGCATCGGCGTCGGCGTCCGCGTCGGCAGCGCCAGCGTCGCCGTCGCCGTCGCCGTCGCCGTCGGCGCCGTCGTCGGCGGCGTCGTCGTCGGCGCCGCCGGGATCGACGTCGTCAGCAGCGAGAGCGTCAGTGTCGTCGTCGTCGTCGGCGTTGGGCCGCACGATGGCTGCTGGCGGGGCGCCTGGCGGCGCCGGCGCCGGCGGCGCCACGCCCGGAAGGGTGCCCTGCCGAGCGCTCGTCGTCGTCGTCGGCGACGCCGTCGGCGTCGGCGTCAGCGCCGGCGCCTTCGCCTTGCGGAGGGCTCGCCGCCGTTGACGTCGTCTTCGTCAGCGTCGTCGCCTTCGCCTCGTGGAGAGCCTTCGTCGTCGCTCTCGTGGACGTCGTCGTCGCCGGCGTCGTCGCTGGCGTCGGCGTCGTCAGCGTCGGCGCCGTCAGTGGCGTCAGCGTCAGCTTCGCCAGCGTCGTCAGCGTCGCCGCCGACGCCGTCTGCCTCGTCGTCCTGTCCTTCGCCGCCGTCGCCGCCGCCGCCCTCCTCATCCGCTCCGCCACACCGGCACGCGGCGCAACGGCGCGAGGGCCGCGCAACACACCAGTCCGCCACTCAGCAGCCGCGACCCACTCCAGGGGTTCGGCACTCCATCCCAGGCCATCTCCTGACGGGTCCCAGGGCCCCCAGCGACCGAAAGCGGCGAACAGAAGGCCGTCTTCATCTGTTCAAGACTGGGGGGAGAGTGATGTTCTGATAGGATTGGCTCAGGATGCGTTCCAGGATCTCCAGAATATCTGGCAGTCCTCGTCTCTGCAGCCACCGTGGAGAACGTATCATCATCATGACGTCTTGCTCCTCTGAGACACGTTGGATCTCTGTCACGCACTCGGTGATTCCGAAAGGTGTGGTTTGCAAAATGGTGCGGTTTGCAACCGGCACCCTGGGGGGCACCCTGGGGGTGGGCGGGTACCTCGATAGACTTATCTGCCGCGCCCCGAGGAGGCCCGACGAGGACAGCGTCGCGCCCCCCAGGCCCCAACGCCCCAACGGTGCCGCACGCGAACCACAGCCTGGCGTAACCCATATCGTTTTTGGCGGCGCGCACAAGGGGGTATAGGGGGAGTGGGGGAAGGCTTCCTAGAAGGAGGCTGCTCCTTTAGAGGCCTCCCAGATGGGGTCGGAGTAGATGGGGTCGGAGGATCGCGCCGCATCGTCGATACATCGGCGATGCATCGATGATGCATTGGCGATGTATCGGCGATACATCGGCGATGCGGCAGCGATGCATCGTCGACGTCGGCGATGCATCGGCGACAGCAAATCAGGCTCCACATCGAGCCGCATCGGCGATGCATCGGCGATTCGGCGCGATCCTCCGACCCCGGCTACTCCGACCCCATCCTAGGAGGCCTGGACTCTTAGAAGGCGCGGCGCGGGCCTTCCACTCGGGGGCGGCCAAGAGGGGGGCGTCCAACAGGTGAGGGTGCAAATCATGACTGGCGGCATGTGCGCGGCCCAGGGGGGGGGGGGGGCCGGGGACGTAATGAAACAAGAAGACGCGCCATGAAATCTGAGGAAATATCATGGCCCACGCCATGATATCCACCCCCCCCCAGTCATCACCTCCCTCTTTGCCGACCCCGATCCACGCTGGCGGCCATCCGGCCCAGGGCCGCAAGGCAGGGCGCCCAGGGCCGCGGCGCCACCGCTGGCCGCCGGCGGTCGCAGGCGCGCTCTCGAGCAGCTGGTCGCGTCCGCGGGAGCGAGGGCGCTCGCTCCCGCGGGCGCGGCTGGCTGCTCGAGTAGGGGACCGACTGCAGAATTGAAGTGCGGCGGAGGCCAGTCCACGAGAAACCCTCCTCAAAAAAAATACCCCCCTCCTCCTCCTCCTCCTCCTCCTCCTCCTCCTGCTTCTCCTCCTGATCCTCCTCCTCCTCCTGCTTCTCCTCCTGATCCTCCTCCTCCTCCTCCTCCTCCTCCTCCTCCTCCTTGGAGAAGGAGGAGGAGGAGGAGGAGGAGGAGGAGGAGGAGGAGGAGGAGGAGGAGGAGGAGGAGGAGGAAGAGGAACAAGGAGAACGAGGAGGAGAAGGAGGAGGAGAAGGAGGAGGAGAAGGAGGAGGGAGGAGGAGGAGGAGGATAAGGATTGCTAGGATTGCTACTACAAAGGAGGTCGGAGCAATGCTATACCTCCTCGCTGTTAAATTACTCGTAATGTAACGCTTCCTGCGGGGTGGAGGGTGCCTCGGCAAGCGGCCACTCTCCCCGTCCGTCCGCCTCCCAAAATCCTTGGACGAGCTGCCCACTACAGGCAACGGAAGTCCGCTGGCCCCCACTGCGGGGGGAATGGGCCATGACATCCCCGCTTTCGGGGGCTTGCCCAGACGGAGACGATTCAGCATGGTGCGCCCCGAAGGAGTACAAACCTTCGGGGATTCATCAACGAGCTTGCACAGCCTGCCTTTACATCCCACGATGGTCGCATATCGGGCGCATCCCAAACACCACGCCAGGCCGTGCTGCATGGCGATAGAGTGCGAGGGGTGCACCGATCTGCCGCCCACGCGGAGGGTTCTAACCAAGATGGGGGGGGACGTGAACGTGGTGGCCATTCTCGCTGAGGTCCCCCGCAGCTTCATCCCCGAGGCAGTTCCCAGACAGCAACCAGTCAATCACAGAAGACCGCCCGGGGGACTGTCGGCAGGCTATACAGCACCACTGGCCGTTCCCCAGACGACGGAGACAATGGCCCGCGCGGGCCTCCAGCTCCTGAAAACGCGTGAGTTCCCCAAGCGACCCAACCGCCCCATACTCCCCACGACAGGTCCTATCCACCTCGCTGCAAGTTTGGGCCAGCACGGCCCCCATTCTCTGGTGGACCAGGGTGGCCCTGGCATCAACTAGGCAGGCGGCGTTCACCTGGCTCCTAATTGAATCTGCTGCCGCCTCGGCCCCGCGCTGGGCCAATGAGTCCGCCATCTCGTTCCCTCGAGAGACTTCTGGCGCTTGTCCCGTTCAGACATGGGACTCGGCGTCTAGGTGCGAAAAACATTTGCGAAGGACAGCAGCTCCTTCGCCTTTCGATTCGAGGGCACGCCGGATTCTGAACCACCATCGTGCAAGGGGCCCCTGGGGTCGCTCTCCGAGGCCTAGGTTCCAACCATCGAAAACAAACTGGCAATCCGTCCAGAGCAGAATCGGGCCCTTGGTAGCCTTCAAGGCCCAGCAGAGGGCCGCCAGCTCCGCGGCGGGCACAGTCTGCCCCCCGTCGATGGTACCATACAGCCCTCGGAGAGTTCCCTGGTCCACGTCCAGATCAGCCTCTCCCCCGACGCGGAAGTACCCCCCCCCCCGACCAACGCGGCAGACTCGGGCGTCACTGGACGTCTCGGAGCCATCTAGAAAACTTTCTAGGACCGTGAGGGGGTAAAGATCCGAGGTGAGGAGGTCGAAGGGAGGGTCGAGGTCAGGCGGAGGGAGACCCACGGCCCAGACATCCTGCCCCAGGCCCGAGTCCAAGGCAGGTGGTGGGGGCACGGGGTTCCACTCCGCAAGGACTATCTCTCTGGTCCAGAAACCTACATTCATGCCCTGGCTTAAATCTGTTTTAGCAACCTCACGCAAGCGCTCCGTGCGCCCTGCCCACTCGTGCTCCATCAGCTCGTTCTGCGGGCAGTCGCACCGGCGGTGGGCTATCGTGTCCTTGGCCAGGGATCAGCGCGGGCAGTCATCGTCCTCGACCTTGTATCCTGCAGCTTTAGCACGCGACTGGGTCCAGATACAGGCCACGGAGTTGGCTTCCAGGGGCCCCTTGCCTCCTCATCCTCCGAAGATTGGCCCGAAGCATATGGAGGTCGCCGCCTTCAGCGAGCCCCTGTCCCAGCGGGTGATCTCCAGCCTGCCGCCAGAGCGCTCTGCGGATGGATGCGCGAAGTGCCTCGGGGATGTCCCCGTGCTCGCTGTTCGCCTCAAATTGGCATTCGCCCCCGTGCTCACCTATCCACCTGTCTGGCGCACGCGGTACCCATCCGAGATCACGCAATGTGAAGATAAGCCCTCCCATCGGTCTAGCCCATCGCCACCGTGCTCTCGCTTTCAGGTAGATCAGCCTGCGTAACGCAGCCAGTCAACCTCTACGCACTCCGTCATGGAGCCCAGGGTGGGTACGCCAGAACTGCAACCGATGCTTGACCTGATCCGTGACCGCGCTCATCCTGGCCCCGTCGTCCAGGTAGTGCATCAGCATGATGGTCGCAGTACAGCGCCCCCCCGCCGCGCGCCCAGCGTGATCGGCGGCTCGGGCTCGCCGACGCGCCACTTCCGAGGGAG